ATGAATGTTTCTGTTCAATTATTATTTTATAGATGAATGTTTCTGTTCAATTATTATTTTATAGATAAATGTTTCTGTTCAATTATTATTTTATAGATTAATGTTTCTGTTCAATTATTATTTTATAGATGAATGTTTCTGTTAAATTATTATTTTATAGATGAATGTTTCTGTTCAATTATTATTTTATAGATGAATGTTTCTGTTCAGACCCTGAGACGACTTCTGTTGTGACTTGGAGCTTTAGAAATAAACTGAATTGAAATTGAATAAAAATTTGTAACACCAAGTGTGTTCGTGCACCTCCTTGTATCGCTCCAGCTCCCGGACAAAGGTGCGTTCATGGAACAGCGTCTGCAGCCTCTCCTGGGTGTAGTTATGGCACAGCTCCTCAAACGTAGCCGCTCGTTGTTGCTGAGCCTGCCGCGGGTTCTGGAAACCCGGCGTGTCCACAATCAGCAGCGAGCACAGAGAGTGCTGACTGGACTTTAGAGCCCTGACAAAACACGAGGAGCACATGAAGAAATCATGGAAAAAACAGAACATGAAGAAAAAAGAACAGAAATGTCTCGAAAACAGGAGAAAATCAGGGGAAACTGGAAAAATGTAATAACATCTGGATGAAATGGAGGAAAACATTAAGGACAGATAAAGCTTCCTTAAAGAAACTTGTCTCCTGCCTCCTTTCATGCTACAATTTTAAACGCATTTCCTCCCACTCCTTCCCCTGCTCTGCTCTTTGCCCCGTGAACCTTTTGGAGCCTCTCTTTGCATATCTTCCCAATTGTAAATTATGGATCTGGTCAGCTGGTCTCTCAATGCAATTGATCAAACTTTCTCTACGAGAAGACAGAGCGAAGGAGAGCCCTCCTGCCCCAATGGGACACTTGGAGCCAGATGCACGATGGATTCCTGGGGGCAGTGGAAGATCATGTGTCTGTCCATATTGTCGGTCGGGATGTAAAAGACGCGTACATAATTGGATTTATGATAACAGGATTTCTACTTTTTGGAGTTGGTGGTCATATCGACAAATTTGATAAACGTCAGCAGCTGTTCAGGACATCGTGAAGCTGCCCGGCCTGTGTGAGGGAATGTGCCGTGCTGTGAACACTCAGACTCAGATGCTGTTTGAGCTGAGCTGTAAGCTGGATGTGATTCTTGCTGAGAACCGCAGGCTACTTGAATCTCGCTGGCAGGAAGAAATCGTCCTTGGAGAAGTTCTAAGCTCGGCAGAACTGACCACAAATTTGGCTGTTTGGAGTCGCCTTTGAGATTTACCAGTGGACTGTAAAGGCAGACGGACATCAACAGAGTCAGACTGACCCAAAACAACTGCTTTTATCTGAATCTGGATCCCCTGTGTCGGTCTTGGAAGGCTGACTATCTCAAATTCTCCTGGATGTTATGTGAACAAGATGCTCTGCTCCCACTACCCGTTCCCTTCCCCAAAGACATCTGTAGACCTGGGTCAGAGCTCCACCGAGGCCGGCTGATAAACAGTGCACCATCACTTATCGTAAACTATGGCTGGGGGGGCTATCTGGACCAGTGTTCACAGACTTACTTACAAACTGGGCTGTGGCAGCCATCTTGATCTGGGCTGTGGCAGCCATCTTGAACTGGGCTCACTCCAACAGTCAGTGAGTCGTTGATGGGAGTGCACATGTGCAGATCAGTTTAGAGTACGAGTTTTCATACTTGTACTCATCAACGTGTTGTGATACTACAGTACTCGCACCACTTTACTGCAGTGTGGCGTAAGCTGTCCTGACGGAGACTCCTCCTCAGTTTGTGGCAGTAATTTAACCTAAAGTTGTTTTTTAACTGCCACTAACCACCAGCAGAAGCAGCAGCAGCCCGAGGGTCTTTCAGGGCTCACAGTGAACGTAATTCTGTCCAGAACAGGAACTAAACCTCAAACTTTCTCAACACAAACATTTAAACAAACATGTTGCATAATTTAATAAACTCAATGAAAAAGTTGACTCCTTGACTTTTAGCAGAAGAAGAAGTGAGATGGCTGCACAGCTGAGTTTCATGCTACGTGCTGGCTGCCTGTAGTGAGCCATGCTTCTGTGGAGGAGATGATTCATTCAAGCAGAATGGTCTGAAGTGCAGACACCACGCAGCTCAGGTGGGGTTTGGGGGGGGGGGGGGGGGGTGTCTTTAGGATGGACCAGCCTCTTCTGAGAATCTAGTTAGGTTTGAAATGCGCAGGGATGTTGGATTTCTTTTCTCCAAACGCACTCATTCAGGGAGAAGGCAGTGAAATTAATCTGCATGATTTTTTAATGTTCAGCCTCAGTGTATCTACAGTGCTAATGGGGAGACGTTACCTGTTGATAAGGGAGATGACCACGGTGAAGAGCTCCGAGTACAGTCCTGATGCCATGGCCTCCAAACACTCCAGAGCTGTGAACTTAGAGCCTGACACAAACAACAACCAGGTCTTTACTCTTTCACAGCCAATAAAAAAGACAAAAACAAAGGGAGCTTTAAAGATGACTCAAGACTCTGCAGTCTAGGTTTTTACCTGAGCTGTCTCCTTGACCAGCATCATCTGCCCCCCCTCTGAATGAGGTGGTGGGCTGCAGTCCTCTGGCCTGATGCTTAAAGATTAGCGAGGACAGTTCCTCCAGGGTGCAGCCCAGCAGGTAGGCCGCCTTTTGGGCCCATTCATGATGGGCAAACTGCCGACGTCCCACTACAGACAAGACAATGGATGTTCAGACCTTTACAAAGTCTAACAGAAGGTGCAGAAAAACAAACATCATGTAGAAAGACAAGGAGGAAAATAACAGAAGTGAGAAGAAGACGATCAAACTGAGTTGCAGCTACTTTGGAAAAGCTTCAATGGGAGGGAAATCATAATGCTGCTACGCTCTTTATACTCTTTAGACAAGTCTTTTCTAGCTAGTTTTGTTGTTGTTTAGATGCAGTCCTACCCCCTCACCATGGTCAACACTAACACCTCTCCTGATACTGCCACGTATCGTTTGTCCCTGCCCTGTCATAAGGCACTGCACATGTCCAGCACGCACCTTTCAGTAAAAGATTAACCCCTTTGAAAGTCCCCAACAAAACGGAGTTAAAATGTTGCAACTGTTGTTATTAGTGATGGTCCAAATGTACATATTTTAATTTCTAAAGCGTGTGCCTGTAGTTAATCGTTAACGTTAGGGCGGCTGCCAACGTGGGCATGAGGTGGGCAACAAAATAATGTGAATACAGAAGCAGTACAGCATGGAAGCTGTGCACATAAAAACAGGCCACCAGTTTCAAAAACTGGTCATTCAAAATGCGGGTGCATGACGCGCTGGTTGCAAACACCCAGAACTCCAGTGGTTCCTCTACTATTACACAAGCGGGGCGCCCCGAACAGAACTGAGCGGGACAATGAGTCTAAGCGGGTCATGTTCTGTGTCTTCATTGGCAAAGCGGCTGTGTTGAGATGTGGCCACGAGGTTGTCGGTGCTTCTTGCGGTGGCCATCCTCAAACTCCCGGGTCAGGGAGGCTGTCAAGCTGAAGGACGAGTCTTATTGGGTGTTGCTGGCTGGCTGGACTCCAGAGGCAGCTGAGGGGTATAGGTGAACCACGTGGGCAGCAGTCCTGGCTGTTGCTGTGGCAAACGCTCAGATGTGGAAGGACTTTGGTGAGACCTTGGACAGAGACTCTCAATCCGCTCTGAAAAGATTCTGGCAAACCATCATGCAGCTGAGGAAGGGAAAGCAGCTCTTTACCAACACTGTGTCTAGTGGAGCTGGGGTGTTGTGGACCTCAACCAGTGATGTCGTTGAGCGGCAGAAGGAATACTTTTCATACCTTCACAATCCCACAAACACGTCTTCCATGGAGGAAGCGGAGTCAGAGGACTTGAGGGTTGATCCATCTATAACCGAGGCTGAAGTTAATGAGGTGATTAAAAGTTTTGTGGTGGCAGGGCTCAGGAGATGAAGAGATCCAACCTGAGCTCCTCAAAGCTCTGGATGTTCCTGGGCTGTTATGGCTGACACACCTTCTCAACATTACATGGACATAGGGGGCAGTTCCATTGAAAAAGCAGACTAGGGTGGCTGTTCCTCTTTAAAAAGGGGGGTAAGTGGGTGTTCTCCAATTGACATGATGCCATCCCGCCATCTGTCAATCAGTTCAGCAGGTTCTTCAGCAAATGACCAATCAGCGATCGCAATTTGTCCCAAAGTGAAACAGCCATTACCTGCAGGAGCTGCACACCTTTTCCTCCTACAACAATGTTGGGATTTTGAAACCAAAGACTGAGTAAGTGACCCAGGACACATTGGGGACACTGTGCCTCTTGGCTGGGAGTGCCTTGGAGTCCTCCTAGAAGAGCATGAAGAGGAGGCTTCTTTTCCTCCTTTGGACAGATGGATGGATCTAAATGATCTAAACTGGACCAGGAGAGTGTTTCGACATCACACACATGTTCAGATGTGGGTGAATGAGTCTGATGACGAGAGAAGTGGAGACTTGGCAATGCTTGTGCTACAGTCATGAAGGGCAAAAAGGAGAAAAACTAAAACTGGGAAATAATTATGAGCCTTTTGGAGAATGCTTCTCAAAGTTGGAACTCAAAAATCAAGCTTCACTTTCATAAACTTTCTAAAACACGATGTATCCAAAAGAGAAGCTACATACTGTAGTAGGGTTAGGTAATGCATCCAGTATATCTGATATATAGCACAAGTTTTCTATCGTGTGATGCCAAAAACAAACATGTTGCAAACATTTTAAAGTCATTTTTTAGTAAGTGCATCTAATGATCTTGTTTTCAGGCACTTTAAATGCATCACAGATCTCTTCTCTTCCATCTTGAAACCCCCAGACGATCCTCCCAGAAAACTCAGAGACATTTAGACAGAGCAACATGTCAAAACAACAACAAGCAATTACAAGAATAAAGAAGAAGAATCATCATCATAGTCTTCCTAAATTAGACAGCACCTTTCAAAACAGTTAAAAGGTGCAGCGCCTTGCAGCTTCCTCTCTTGAATTTTAAACATGTGTTCACTTAATCTGTGCAACAAATATTTCTTCCAGGTAAAGTTTCAAGCACATCTGGAATTCATTTTGAACCGTTCTCAATTTAGCTTCTGTAATTCTTGATCTGCACTGTGACACCTGAACAAAGGAAAATAAAACATCTTCGGCTAAAGACCTGCATGTCCAGGTCTGACCACAGTTAGTGATAAATTATAATTATTGCAAGAAAACTGCTCCAGCTCTGCCTATTGTCATTTCAATTCAGTTCAGTTCAATTTATTTCTATAGCTCCAAGTCACAACAGAAGTCGTCTCAGGGACTGAACACAAACATTCATGTATAAAATAATAATTTAACAATATTTATAAATATTGTATAAATATCGTCTAAATATTATCTGAATATTGTATAAGTATTGTCTAAATATTGTATAAATATCGTCTAAATATTGTATAAGTATCGTCTAAATATTGATAAATATTGTCTAAATATTGTATAAATAGCATCTAAATATTGTATAAATAGCATCTAAATATTGTATAAATATTGTCTAAATATTGTATAAATATCGTCTAAATATTGTATAAATATCGTC